TATGACCTTGAATGTTGTTGGGAGTATGCGGGCGGTTGCATATACTATGGAAGGACACTTCTTTTTGAGGTGGCTGGAAAAGGAACTGGATTAGTAGTGATCTTGACGATCTGGGAGCGTGACCGTGAAATACAATGGACAACTCTTTGAGGCCGGTCACATATAGCCTTTTGTGAGTAGCTCTTGATGTGCTAGCGCTGTACTTTCGAGGCTTATCGACCAGGGACGGAAATCCGTAAGATGAGGTAATGTATGTTATTTACTGGGTCGACCGTTTCTGTTCCTCAACTAGTCTCTATAGTATGGTAAGATCTAAATGAACAAATATTCTAGCTGGTATAACTCTTTTGGGTCATCTTAATATTCACATCCGACCACTGTGTAGTAGCAGCTACGGTCGCTGTTTCGGTGACACTACTTTTCTAACGTAGAATATAAATGCCGAAGGACTTCCTATAAGGATCGACCTGCATTTTATCGATTGTAATGAAGTGACAATACCTAAGGGTGTAGTTAGTGGGTAGCATGTAAACCAAAATACGAAATCTCAAGCTAGTTAGTGCAAAGAAATTACTAGTTCTTTTATTGTCAATTCGACTAACAATAATAGTTCAGTAACTTATGTTCTAATATCACAGATATGCATCGGCCACCGCATCAGCACAATGATATGGATTCCACGGTTATAAGAGTTGAAGCCGAAAGAATTAAAAATAAAGGATATGGTTGGCGCATTCGTAAAACAAAAGGAATGGAATAATATTAAGACTCAGGATAGACTAATAGTAAATATATTTACGTCTTTGATTGTTAAAATAATTTTAAAATGTGAATGTATTCAACTGAGTTTCTTAGCTGTCTGTGGGATACTCGATGTTCACAACCATACTTCCAAGACCTAGAAATGTAAGAGCGGCCACAGTGATTTGTATATATCTAAGGTCTCAGTCAGTCAGTAACAACGTAGAACTTCGTACGTACGTACATCAGTTCGAGTTGCCACACCACATTAGCACAGAGATGCAGTTGTCGATTCAAATCCCGTAGTGGTAGAGGTAATAAGAGTATAAGCAGTAATCGGGAAGATTAGGGTTTGGAGATGTTATTTAAAGAGTATAATCCAGTGAAATAAATTTGGAAAGAGGAAAAAAGGGACATGAAGGATTCAGAAGATTAGAATTTGGGAGAACACAGAGAGTGGATGCACCTGCGCCATTGCAAACGATTTTGAGCCATGTCATTCAGGGTCTCTAACCATCGGTTGCTATCATCTCGCGGTCCCCAACCAGGTAGTCTACACCTACCAACATGACTCAGTTCACTTGTCAGTGACTTCATGGACTTGTGCCATGTTTTGGTTTGGCCGCCCCTAGCTTTCTTCCAACCTACTCCTATACCACTGAACATAGCACGTCGAGGCAGTCGGTCGTTGGGCATACGTAACACGTGTCCCAGCCATCTCAACTGATGAAGTTTCACTACTTCATCAATTGATTTGCCATCCTTACCTAGTACCCGTTTCCTAACAACTGTGTTACTTACTCGATGGTCCCATGATATACGAGCAATGTTTCGAAGACACCTATGATCAAATACTAGTAACCTACGGATATCCTCTACTCTTACCGGCCATGTTTCACTGCCATAAAGTAGGACGGAACGAACTGCTGCGCAGTAAACCCGTCCTTTGGTTGATAGACGGATATCTCGCCTACGCCATAAATGACGCAAGTTGGCAAAAGCTAGTCGAGCCTTCTGTATCCGTGCTGAGATTTCGTCACACACTAAACCACAAGGGCTGATGAGACTTCCAAGATAAGTGAAGCGGTCGACACACTCAACTACTTCACTCCCTATCACTAGTTCGGGTGTCGATGTAACCCAATCCTGAAGCAACATTTTGCATTTCGAGGGAGAGAATCGCATCCCGAACATGCTTGCATTGTTGCTTAGAGTGGTCAGAAGACTCTGCATTTTGTCAGCGTCTTCACCAAATAAAACTATGTCATCAGCATATTCTAAGTCAACAAGTGAACCTCCTGGTAGAAGTTCAACCCCTGGAAATTTAGATGAGGAGAGTGTTATCTCTAAAAGTACGTCGACCACAAAGTTGAACAAGAATGGGGAGAGTGGACAGCCCTGACGAACACCACTTGAGGTAATCAATTCTGATGACAGTTCGCCATAAGCTCTCACTCTACCAGTTGTGTTCGAGTAGAGAGCCTTTATAAGGTTAATGTACTTCTTTGGTACTCCTTTCAGTGACAAACACTGCCATAGAACCTCACGATCAACAGAGTCGAATGCCGCCTTAAGGTCGAGAAATACTACCATTGTGGGGCGTCTGAATGTGTGTCTGTGTTCTAGAACCTGACGTAGTGTGAATATCTGATCTATACAACCACGTCCAGGTCGAAAACCGGCCTGGTTTTCTCTAATCTGCTCTTCACGAGCTTTGATTAGGCGTCGAAGTATTATTGAAGCTAATATTTTAGACACTATATTAGTCAAACTGATTCCTCTGTGATTGTCACAAGAGGACTTTTGTCCTTTCTTATAGACTGGCACAATCAGTGATTGAGACCAGTCAGATGGGATTACGTCCAGTTCCCAAATTCTACCTAAGACCTCGGTTAATCTCATTGCTAATACTGGACCACCATCCTTAAAAATCTCAGGAGTAAACCTGTCAGGGCCTGCTGCTCTCCCTCGTTTCAGATTTCCTATGGCTTTTTCAACTTCGTAAAGGGACGGAGGACCTACATTAACTTGCCATTCAGGTTGACTAGAGATCGTGGGAAACCGAAGTGTGGCTGAAGGCCAGTTGAACTGATCCCTAAGGTCTTTTCTGAATACTATCTTAATGTGCGGCAGTAAATACAGATGTGGTTGACCACTGAGCGTATACTAACAGACACTAACTATTCAATATGATTTTCTTTCCTATTATTGACTTGAACTTGGGGTTCTTATGATTGTGTTGAATAATTTATTGTCCTGTGTTCACCAAGTGAACGAGAATACAACTCTGAATCACTCGTACCTGTCCTTTGCTCAACCAAGATGGATGGTGTTCTGTTATGCGATGCTAATGAAAAAATTGCACCGCGTTTCTTCGGTGGGATCATTTAGGAATTGTATTTGTATTGTAATTATCATTTCAACTGTTCCTATGAAGTAACTTATATAGGGAGTACAATTCGGCAAGCTCTTCATCACTATACTAAGAAATTTATGAAGAATTTAGAAACTTAAGATTTAAAGTAAGACAAGGAGTGGACGTATCCGCACTACTGTGAACGAATTTGAGCCGTCACACTATGCTGACTCCAACCAGATAGTCTGTACCTACTTACAGGGCTTAGTCCAATACTCAGTTTCATTGTTGATTGATACCACGTTCTGGTTCGGACGACCCTAGCTTCAACCCAACCTCTTCCTACATCATCGTGCGTCGAAGCAGGCGGTGGATGGGCATACATTATACATATCCGAACCACTTCAGTCGATAAAGATTCATTACCTCGTCTATCGATTTGTCACACTTGGTGCTCCGGGTTAAACCTGAGGACCTGATTGTACGAAATATGCAAGCAATGGTTCAAAGACACCCAACATCGAATGTCGGTACAAACGAGCATTGAAATAAATGTGCATCATACATTGTAAAGGGATATAAAAATAAGTGAGTATAATAAAAGAAAGAGATGAATAAAAAAATTGGGTGAGGTTAAGGTACAATGAGAGAAACAGTTGTTTCAAAAAATGAACAACGGAAAGAATTTTGTTCGGTAGAGGAGTATATTACTTCTGTGAAGAAATTGGAAGAAAATCACAGTAGGATCTACATTGGCTTCCTCTCTGAGTCCTGTCCGGTTGCATTTCAAGCCACTGAGTTGAACTACCGCTTGGACTCCAACCAGGGACTTGTGATGGACCAACAGATGTTAGTCCTACACAGCTTTCTCTCATACTCCTGCAACATGTCTTAAACCTACCATTTCACTTTCTCCAACCAGTCTTATAGTCAGTGAATAAAGGGCGGTGTGGAAGTCGCTAAAATGGCATTTGTAGAGTATTTATTTATTGAACACAAATATTCGTACAAAGGGGCACAGAAGTGCTTTAAACACGATATTTTACACACAGACTAATATCGCAACATCACCAATCTCTGATTTCCAACGGAAAGCGTTGCAATACTCCCATGATTTTCATCTACAGTCAATAAATAAAAGACAACTTCGGAGCTCACACACATATGCACTAATCTAAGCTCATACTTTAGATGTACATAAATTATATTAGCCGACCTCAGGCCACGCCATGCATTTATTTAACTTACTTACTTCGTACTAATTCGTGTACTTAGCTTCGCGCTATACTGTAAGTGTGAGAACTGGTGACACCCACGCCTGTCCTAACTGAAGTAGGTGGAGTGAGATTCGAACCAGTGACCCATTACTAGTAAGAAACCGGGTCTTTTAACCACTTAATTATGATTGCGAACCTACCACACTTTTCGAAATACCAATAAAAAGGTAAATGGTGGGGACGAATACAAATAATATTTCTAAAGAAGAAATAGTGACCAAATAGAAAGCATCATTTGTCAATATTTCTTGGCAAGAAAGGGCTAACTGTTCGATTATTAGAAATAGTGTTTATTGAAATGCATGAAAATCTAGTTGCCAACTGTTTAGTCGAGGGAAACATAGCTGACATCCCACTTCAATAAGTAACAGGGAGAACAATATGTGAACTAAATTATTCTATTATACAATATATACAAACATTAAGGTGCAAACCATTTGCTACACCCTTTCAGAGGTTGAAGTTTGTTATTCTCTACCTTTTTGGAGACATCAGAAACGACCTCTTCAGATTTGTCAGCATCGCCATCCATTAGAGTATCAGTAGCTTCTGATGGACGTTTGTCTTTGAACAGATCAGGAAAAACAAAAACTTCACCAGGAGCCTAAACAAGATAATAAGAGAGAAATTACGGAGTTAAGTGAAATTATTGACCTGAATTATAGCTGACAGTCGAGTTACATAAGCAGGGTATCACTAAAGCAATTCACAGTTTCTAGTTGATAATTGATTGCTAACGCAATTACTAACAGTAACCAAGCAAAGAGAATCTTTGCAGTGATGTAAAAGGAAATAGTCTTAACGTACGTTATACTGACTTTTTTCTCTCCAAAAAAACATTCCTTAAATATGTAAAAATAATAACATTCTTATCGACAGAACTATGTAGATGAGAACAAGCACAGATTTAAAAAGAACATAACAAGCGAACCAAGTCAACAATCAGAACCCACTCGCTATTAAGAACGCTAGTTTTCAACTAAAGCAATTGATTTTCGGTATCTGTTTAAGAAGTGCCAGTAGCCTTATCACGGAAAATAGACCGAAATGATTGAGATCAATTACACTCATACTTAGTAACTTTCAATTTGGTTTTTTAACCTATGGTTATGATTTCGACACATGATTTGAACACTGTGAAGGTTTATTGGCAAGGCAAGGGTTCCTATTAGTTTCGCGAGTGTAAATTGTACCTTGATAGAGCGAAATGCATGCCATAATTACGGACAATTGTGGTCAACAGAATAAGTAAACTATATGCAAGTCATATGACATCCCATAGTAAAACGAAGAATTATTTAGTAAACTAGTCATAAGCGTGTCGCTTCTATATTCGACTACAGTTGTTCTTTCGCATTTCAGCCTTTGAAACGATTTAGCAGCTATACGGTGGCAATGCAACAAAAACTTATGTAAACCAAGCATCTAACTTATTTTTCTACATAACTCAATGCACCGTAATAAAACGCGGTTTGACTAACTAAAAACATATCAAAATAGTTTGAACATATATATTACAGAAAACAAGGTGGAAATATATGCTTGGTTAATGTCCGTTTATTAATAAAGGAGAAAACTTATAGAAACAAAAACCATTAGTAAATCAATCACAGATCGACCAAAATAAAGTCACAACTAAGCAGTTTAAATTACACTGAATCCCGGAAAGCAAATATTACTTAGTTTCCAGAGCATTACTTAGATTTCCGTTCGTAGTACCTTACTACAACCAGTTTCGTGAGGTTTCTGAGTACCGATCAGCGCAAACCTAAAATCAAGAAAAGCATAATGTTTTGTGCTACTACATACACTTACACAAAATCGAGTTATTGCTTCACTAATTATGGTGAAAAAGTATGTTTCAGAAAGTGGTTTCAACCGCTAGATTTTAATCGATCGAACTGACGACTTTTACAGTCGTGTATTCATAGAATTCTAGCAAGATTCTTTAGTAATTGAACTTCTATTTCACTGGTGATTTCATGAATCCAGTTTAACTACGATTCACTCCAGAAAAATCATATATCACTTTTAAAATAACTGGTATGAAATTTTTGTGATGAAAACTGGACATAAAGAGCAAAGTAGTTACGTGAAGGACCAAGTACTGAAAATGCATCATGGACGCTATATCTCCCATTAAAATCAACCGACGAAACGGTACCAAGAAAAAACTAGACAAGCAAAACCAAAATTGTTAGTCTCTCAAACATTTTAATAGTTTTGTTAATAACCAAACATTTATGTTGAGAAATTTAATCATGTACAGAATTAAGTCTTACCAAACGAACATATGCAACCTTTTCATAGCGTTCAGGTTTAGGGGGAAATTGTGTGGAATCGAGTGATCTCTGGGCTTTGCGGAGTGGCGGGACATCAACTGGTTCTACTGCACGAATAGTTACTAAATAATTAGAATTTACAATCGTGATGAACCATCTTTACTCGAACATCTACAACAGGAACATTGTAAATCTTTTCTAGATACTGCTGTACGTCACGCTTAGTCATTCTGAGATAAGAAATTACAAGGTAATTACTGTGGGTGGACTTTGAAAATAACATGGTTAGGGGATTTTTTGGACCAGGATACATCATTTTCATCCAAAACGGAGGCAGAAAACATGGCACTGGAGGATCACCAGGAAAAACCTTAGGATATTCGACTTGTCGCCTCCACAAAGGACTGTTATAACCTGAAAAGTAATCAGCTAACACCTACAAATAGTGTGTTGTTTTGGGTAAGCATATCGGTCGGATAAATATCACAGGCCGTACCCCAGGCATTTGAGTCTTGCGCTTACTAAGTTCAGTTTCTTCACCCAATAACAGTTTCAGTTTCAGTTTGGTAAGGACAGGAGTCCTGATGGCCTGTGTTAGTCCTGACAATCGCGATCTCTCAGTTGATCCAACTTTCTTTGAAAGAATCGACGGATGGAGCCTCAACCACGTGCTGAGTTAATGAGTTCCACTCGTTGATGATTCGATGGGAAAGTCGATAGTCAGCTGACAAGTAATTTGTTCTTGGCTTGTGAACTTTTTTGGAGTGTCCTCGTAAATCCTCTGTTTTGGAAGACAAGAAAAATGAGGGCATATCAGGTGCAAATTTGGCACTAAGCAATTCGAAAACTGTAATCAAGTCGCCTCTAGTTCTGCGATATGACAACGGGAAAAGGTTCAGCTTGGTCAGTCGAGCTTCATATGGATGCTTCGCTATTCCGGGAATCAGCTTAGTTGCCGTTCTCTGAACCTTTTCGAGAAGCTCACTGTCTTTTTTAAGCAGGGGCTGGCCGCTTGTATGCAGTACTCAAGTTTAGGATGTACGAACACTATATACAAAGTCAAAAACCTCTTAGTGTCGACATGACTAAAAGCCCTACGTATTGACCGTAAGGTTCTAAAACCTTTGGCGGCTATTGCACGGCAGTGTGCAGTAGTCTTCAAGTCTTGGCTAACGATGACTCCTAAGTCATTATATGTTTGGACGACAGGTAGCTCAGTGTTATTCATCGTTTATGTATCTGTACCTTGATGACCGATATGCATCACAACACACTTGGAAGTATTTATCGGCAACTGCCAGGTTTGGGACCATTCAGATAATTTCTTCAGGTCAGTTTGGAGTTCTTAGCTATCACCCTCACATCATATCGTTCTCCATATCTTGACATCGTCAGCATATAGCAAGACCGATGATGATAGGAGATGAGGACGGTCATTTACATACAAGAGGAATAGCACTGGCCTCAAAACTGTACCCTGGGGCACTCCACTAAGCACAGTTCCCAGCTAGATAACTTTGAGTTCACCCGAACTCTTTATTGACGCCCAACTAAGAAGTCTTTTATCCACATAAATAGATTGCCTCCGATCCCGAGATTTCTTAACTTATATAACAGCCGGTTGTGCGGAACCTTGTCAAAAGCTTTTCTGAAATCAATGAAGGCTACGTCTACAGGTAAATTTTGGTCCTTAAGTGCGCACCAGCTTTCACGAGCCACTAATAAGTTAGTGAGACAAGAGTAACCTATTCTGAAACCGTGCTGCTTCTTCGAAAGGATCCGGACCAGTTGATTTGGACAGAAGAATGGACTGGTCGCCTACTACAGCTTTCAGTGGTACTTCATATATAATACAAAAATTAATTGCTAACACACGTAAGTTCTATTCATATATTGTTGATACTGCGTGCTTTAAATTCGAGGTCTTTCTTGCGTCTTGTCAATGTTCTAGGCTTTCTGGGATTATTAGCATTTCTTTAGCTTATTTTAAATTCACACTGGTGTAATCCTTATGGTTTCTATCAGCTCTTCTTGGTTTAACCGTTTTTGGTAGCGTTCTGTGTGGAGTAGTTTAGTCACGTGTTGCATTAGGCCTAGTATGCCCGACAGAGGATCAAGAATTACTGGAACATCATGAAGAATATAAAGATGGAAAAAATCTTAGGATGACTCGGTATATTCTACTTTGAGATGTTTTGTTAGTCTTTCTCCTGAAAGGACAAGATTGAGTCAGTCGAAAAAATCAACGACACTTTCTCACTTAGTTTCATATTAGCTTTACAATAACTTTCAAATGTTTTGAGGGTAACGTTGTTGGTCTGGAACAAATCCGAGTTCATCTAACTCCTCATCTGAAAGGAGGATGACCTGCTTTCAATACTTGGGAGCTGAAACTATAGCGATCTCTGAAATGTACAGTATGCTAACTTACAGTAAACATCTGAACTAGCTTCCTGGATGGGCGGGACATGTTTTCAAAGGCTTAAGACCTTTTGTGTCTAAGTTTCGCGGGCTATTGAAACGAAAAAACATAAATTTCATGTGACGCATCATTTAAACACTCAGTTCTACCCGGAGTATTTCTTACATATATTAACAATCGGCTTGAAAGGTCATGTTCATATCCTGTTCCAGCGACTGGAGGATGGAGTCCTTGCGAAAACGCGGAGTTGTGTTCACAACTATTTCAGTTTCTTATGACGTTCTGCATTTTATTCTGTAAAAAGATAATGTAGCGCTAACGTTTTACAAGTTTAGAAGCTATTGGCGTTTACAACTTGTAAGTGTCACTTAGTTGTCAGACTTAACTAACTCTAGACTAGTTATAAACTGGTTTTCGAACTAAGGAATACTACCAGTAATCCGTCAAGCCTTCAGAAGTCTTAAAAGCTGTCTCAAGCTTAAATATATCCAAAAATGCTATATTTCTTGGCTATCATATAACGCTGTTATATAGCTGATATTACCTACTGAACGAAATAAGCTTGTCGGGTCTATCTCCACAAACCTTTATTGTATAACTCATGGTTTATGACGAGATAATTTGGAAATGAACTAACGTTCATTAGATTTAGTGCAAATAATGACCAGGTCTGAATACTTTGGCACTTGCTATCTATCATTTCGAATGAATCTGTTTTCACTCCACTTAAGCACAGTGTCCATTTTTCTGCATTTTCCTTCCTTCGATACCAACAGATTGATTGCTGTGATTAGGAGTGATATGTAAGCACTTCAGATTGACTTATAATTAGGTGTTTTGGGAATCCTGTAGTGGTAATCAGTTTTATGGCGTGACATGTTTTGCATATGTTTTCGTTGGCAGAAATATGCTGTGTTATGAAAAGGAAAACTGGTAGAAGTGACCGTGAGGACCATAAAACATAAAATGGTTTGAGTAGCACTATTTATTGCTTGTTAATAACAATAAACATTTATGACGAGTAGAGTCAATCAATTGAAAAGCAAAAGTCAAGGATACGGTTAACCAATATGGCAAACACAATGATAAAATGTTAAGTAAAAAGGAATACAGTCTGTAAAAAGTCAAACAATATCAAAGATTTTATGAGGGTTAGGAATTGTAGGCGACATTTTGTTGATAGCTTTGAATAATCCAAGAAATTGATATGATGTGCATGATCGCGGAGAGGTGAGGAAAAACACTACATATCAGCTAAAACAAGGTACGTTTGTCATATGTGGAAACTTTTGCACACATACATGCTTCTCAGAAGAAAGATCATAGAATGCCATGGAATCCATTTTTCATGGTTTTGCATATCTAGTTATTTGTGAAACTTATTTATATATCCATCTTGCATCTTAATAACATTCTGTTTCACTCCTAAACGTACGTTGATGTGTATTTCCCCTATTCTTGGCTCTAAATGAAATTAATATTGATCCATTTTCGCGATTTCGGTTCTCTTAATTTATCACTTTACATATGTGGTTCTACAGAACTGTGTCGACTTTGTTTCACTGGCCTATTTTGATTTTTCAGGTTCGAGTTTTTCGCTTCATACTTTATAGTTAGATCTACAATGGGCCACAACTCCTTAATCAAGTGAGACATCTGCCATTGACAAGTATCCAGTTACATTGTTTGAGGCTTCATAGTTTGGCTTTACAGTAATAGTATTAAAAATTGATCTGTGTTTGAGTGAACTAATTTTCTGAATGCTTGTTATAGAACTTCATCCCTTGCTATTCAGGGACTCATTTATTATACTTTCGTATTCCTTAGCAAGTATCTGCTTGATTTAGTTTTGATTCGGTTGCGTATACCTTGCTGAACGACTCTATGGTATAAGGTCCAGTGATGCGGCTCGTTAATGTACTTTTGTATTAATTACATTCATAATTCTTGTGGTTACAGCCGTATTTTCAATTTTACCGATTGGAAGAACGAGTATATGATGCTTCTCTAGAGGATAAATTGAACAGAAATGAAAACATGATGAATGTTAAAACACTACAAAAATAAAATTTACAGACTTGTCTGACAACCGGATCCATCTTTATTTCCGTACTACTCTTGATGGTTTGACAAAAGTTTAATATGTGTTATTCAAGATTTTTCATTGATTATAATCATAGAGGTTTTGTGAACTTGTTTTGTTCTTTTACCTTGCATCCCTGGCTGAAATGTCTAGTCTGTAGCGAAATATTTTGGGCCCAGAGAAGTTCCATTGTTTCCTAGTCAAATCATACACCGAGAAAAAGCGCTTCCACGTTAGAGCGTAGTGGCATTGTGCAAGCCAACAACTATTCCCTCCCATAAGAGTCGTTAAAGTTCGATATCACGGTATAAGCGGCATCAGTCAACCACCAAACAGAAGTTGCGGTACATTTTTAATCTGCTCTTGTTATTGAAAGTTGTTTGTAGTACAGCATAAGACGTTTTGATATCCCAAGGTCATCGGAGGTTGAAGCGGACCTGGCTTTACTGTAAATATTTCTTATCAAGGATGAGTTAGTATGATTTTCTTTCCTTCGTACCTAAAATAAAGCTAAATAAATTACTGTGGTCGTTTTTCTTCATGCTTTATGTTCCGGACATACTAATCATTTTGTTATATATCTCTGAAACTTCAATGAAACTCTAATCCTGCTAAAGATGAATGTACTTTTTCTAACCGAAGGATGGCAGTGTTGTAATGTTTAAAGCGAGTTTGCACGTAGGCATCGGGTAAGGTTGAGATCTCGGAAATAGGCATCTAGACTTTCTTACAAATAAAATAACTTGATGTTTAGACTTTAGGTGAAATACACGCCTATTAATAGTGAATGATGCTCTTAAAGGATTATTTTATGTCACAGGCGCCTACACACAATTGCCCACATAAGTTGGGATTATCAAGCGGGCTATACAGAGGTTAGATGGATGGTGTCCCCAAATGCCCTAGTACGGCCGAAAGTGGAGAGAGTTAACTCTCCCTCTCGAGATGCTCTCACATAGCCACGCGTATACAACCACTGCCAGGGAAGTCCTACTCACTGCTTTCTCGTGGTGAGGGTGTTGTTTACGAAATTGAGAGGACGAGAAGCGAATGTCCGGCGCTTTAACAGGGTTGGTGGACACGGTGAGTTGGAAAACTCTGACTCCAAACCAGTGGTGCACATGGGATTCAGTATCCTGAGAGAAAAAATGGCGTACGAACCTATTGTTGGTCACCGGCTACTATGGGACTGCCTTTCCTGACGTTGCTCCACTGCCTTATTGACCAGAACTTTAGGTCGAAAGGCTGCGATTGTGGCCCCTATGAAAACCACCTGCTTCAGTATGAGCACCAGGCAGTATCCTAGCCCATACAGAAATCAAATGGGTTGTGTGGCGCATATGTATTTGGTGCCTCCTTGTAGCAATATTTATGTGTTCAAATGAATAAATAAGATGCATGGTACTGGATAAAGATGATAAATTTTTTGACAAAATAGTGAATTTTCATCATGTATTTCATGTGCCCAACTATCGCCTACCTCAACGCGTAATGCTTGCTGAAGTGGGAGTTTATTGAAAGGGAGTTGATAGTGGCCAAACCCCAAACTGAGATCAGTCAATGAAGTCATAGACAATTGGGATATATGTACCTGTCGGTATGTGCAGACTATGTGTTTGTGGTCTGTGCGATAACCACGATCAATAGTTAGAGGTTTTGAATAACATGTCTCTGGAGCGTTGATAGTGATCCTGATGCATTCACTCCTTATATTTCTCTCAGTCATGGATTTTAGTAACCCGAATCTGTATTTTCATATTATATTCTTAATGTGTGATTTGTCTTTTTATCATTACTACTACACTTTTTCGATCTCTTTTATCGTTTCCCTCTCGTCATGGTAGTCGGGTATGGCACCATGGTAACACACATCTGGCCCAGGCTCTATATTGATGTCTGTCTGTCTAACAGTTAACAAGTGTAACAGTATTTTACGTAGTTACAATCATATATACCGTTCTCAATAAACTAAATGATTTATTTTTTTTAATAGTATCCTTACTACTTGGGCTTAGCTCGTTAACTTGTTATAAACGTTGATACGTATTTTCAACTGAGCAAAATGGCGACCTACTTGGAGTTAGACAAATGCACTTTATTGTGTTCCTGCAAACAAACAAATCCATTGTGTACACTGTATTTTTGCCGTCATTGTTTATGTCTTCGATGCCCTAACTGTGTTTCACATGAGGTGAATTTTTTATTAGACTGTTCATATTAGTTTATATATATTTTGTACTGTTTTTGTACGTTGTGTATACCAAGTTAACTACAAATAAAATTTATTACAGATGTGTTGTTACAAACTAGATTCTGGTATACTAGTGAGTTTGACCAAATATACACCTTTCACCAACAAAATGCCATTAGCTTAATAATAATAATAATACAAATAATATATTTGATGTTGTTCTGTGAAAATTGGTTTAATTTTAGGATTGTATTGGTCACAATTGTCACCAACGAAACTAAAAGATTGTCACAACATATCATAGTGTATTATCAGATGGTGACCCAGTGGTTCTAATGGTCAGGCGTTCTCCACGAGATCTGAAGGTCCTGAGTTCGGTCTTCAGTGGGGTTATAGGTTATTACTACTAAGTAGTCCTATAGCACGGCAAAGCAGCTACGAAACGTTCCTTTCAATGGTACTCCATCCGAATCCAGTTTATGACGAATACAGCTTTCAGATACCAACAGCAGTTAAAAGGAATACACAGGGTAGTCCCCATGACCGAAAAAGAAATAATCGATAATGCCTGATAGTCTAGAGTAGCTTTTGGGCAAATTCAAAGACTTAACACCACAATTTATGATCGCATTTCAGCTCTCAGTGGCTTTCAATGCGTAAACTAGCAGTTTTAAAAAACGCATCTTGTCACCATAGGAAACTATTGATAGCTTTAATATTAAGCATACTAATTTTCCGCGCAAATCATTGGTGATTAAAGGGATTTTTCATCATGGTCTTTGTATGTTTTTCAGGTCCGAACAATATTGCTTCGTTATTTCCTACTCGTTTCCGCTGTATTTTCTTCTCTACAACAGGTAGAGAATAACTGTCAATCCTGTGTTTCATCACTCTAGTGTCTTGTAGAGCTGATAGTACAATTAATATTAAGCAGTGGTGTAACTTATGTATTAAGTACGTATTTCCTGCATCTAGCTGTAATTCATACTATATTGTATGAGTGCTAGTGATACCAACTGGTTTCCAAACATAAAGTAGGTAGAATGGGTTTTGAACCGACCACATATTCGTTGGAAGTTAAGAAACTTACCCGTTAAACCACAACTGCACTGCATATGAGCTCTTCAGTGAATGATTGCTTCCCCCGACGTTCTAACCCTCACATCCAGTGTTACTACGCTCAGAGACGTAACCACTGAGTTATTTTCTCGTTAAATGAACTAATTGGTAGCTAAGTACGAAGAAATGTCTTTTACTACATGAAGTTTGTGGAGATTGTCGTATTTTATGGTTTACATCGCAGGCTAACCTTATCTAGACAACTAATGAAAACTAGGTACCACTAAACAGCTGTTTTTCGTAGTATGGGAATCCATAGGAGTGAGTATTCACAATCCTCACAACAGCTGAAGCCAGAACCTTCAAATCCCGGCGAGCACTCAACCTTCAAACCACTGAGTTGGAATCCATTCCTTTATATTTCTGACTTCGGTCGATTCACGGTATTGCGCACTCATCTCTCAATATCATTGGTGGAGTGAATTCCTCACATTCTGATATGATCGGACTCCATTGTCTAACAATGGTCAGTCTATGATGTAAACTATGAACTGCATCTTTCCTGTTATGCATACATTCACCATATCTTTCATTCATTTATATGCTCAGGTGGATTCTTATTATTGTCCTAATTGTCTTGAAAATATGGCAAGCGCTGAGGCCAAAATGCGTAAACATCGTTGTGGTAATTGTTTCGATTGTCCAAGTTGTGGTCACACACTCTCTACACGAGCAACTGCTGTTGTACATGCAAAGCCCGATGAACCAGGTCGAACAACAGCACAAAAAGCATATTTTCTAGCATGTGGGTTTTGTCGATGGATTACACGAGATAGTGGTATACCAGATCAGCAACAAGCTGCTGGAGGTTGGCAAGAGAAAATAAGTCCACATTTTAAAAGGGTTTGTTCAAAATTATATCTTGTATTGCTTTTATATGTGTGTTATTTCGGATTAATTTTTGACTATTGCATTGAATTTAGCATGATGGAGCCAATAGCACGTAATCATGACTTTAGAGACTATTACACAAAGGATCATTATTTATGTTTTTATTGTTTAGTTAGATGTTTGGACTGTTCTGTTTTTAGATTCTTCTACTACTAAGCCTTCATTTGGTTCATAAATCGTTGTCATATGTCTCATTATCCCATACTTGCCGTTAACTAACTACTTCTCTATTACTCTGGTCTTGTATCACTTACCGCTGAACTATGTACACTTTGATTTTTTAACTGTGTTGCTATGTGGTCAGACAGTTCAAGCATATTATTGCATCAGTTTTGAGCCACAATTAAGTTAAGTATAAAGGGGAACTGATATATTTTCTGTATTTGTCTTCTGTTTAGCCACTAGGTTAAAAGAAGCTCGAGGATGAAATAAGCGTCGAGGTTTTGTGATTGGATTGTTCATTGGTCGACATATCGGTTAGTAAATAAGTCGTCGGTCATAGTGGGAATATAAGTGAACTAGTTAATAATCGATCTGGAGAGAGGTCATATAACTGCTTTCCTGTCATTACTGCCCGATCGCATGGAACCTAGTACAACTATAGAACAATTTGTTGTTTTTCTTCCGACATAACAAAATGAAACTGATATCAGAAAAATACTGAGTTAATTAACCGTTTATCATATTGCAGCTTATTAACACTCAGATTTGCCCCCAAATGCCCTAGTACGGCCGAAAGTGGAGAGAGTTAACTCTCCCTCTCGAGATGCTCTCACATAGCCACGCGTATACAACCACTGCCAGGGAAGTCCTACTCACTGCTTTCTCGTGGTGAGGGTGTTGTTTACGAAATTGAGAGGACGAGAAGCGAATGTCCGGCGCTTTAACAGGGTTGGTGGACACGGTGAGTTGGAAAACTCTGACTCCAAACCAGTGGTGCACATGGGATTCAGTATCCTGAGAGAAAAAATGGCGTACGAACCTATTGTTGGTCACCGGCTACCATGGGACTGCCTCTCCTGACGTTGCTCCACTGCCTTATTGACCAGAACTTTAGGTCGAAAGGCTGCGATTGTGGCCCCTAAGAAAACCACCTGCTTCAGTATGGGCATCCAGGCAGTATCCTAGCCCATACAGAAATCAAATGGGTTGTGTGGCGCATATGTATTTGGTGCCTCCTTGTAGCAATATCTATGTGCTCAAATAATAATAATGATAGTAATAGTAATAATAATAATAACCGTTTCAGCACAGAGAAATGAGATTATCAAAATTAATAAAATGGCATTAGAAATACTAGTAATACTGTAGTGACTGGTAGTATGCCAAGCTCACATAAGCTGTTCTAACTACTGGAGAGACTAATTTGTTCATTCTTCTCAAGCCACATTTTGATCTTGTCAATTATTCGCCTTTTAACCCTGATTATTTTATATGATCGTATGTGTTAATTGCTCACCCTATTCATTAGGTGTCTGTAATTTATTTTTGTCTGAATATAAATATTGAGTCATGCTTGATCGAAACGAGTTGGCCCACTCGCCTTCTTGGCTGAGCGTCACTTCGTTTCTCTGATTGCCTGTCTGGATTAACGAGTGTATGAAACATACGTATCGAAATTCATTCTCCTGTTTGGTTTATTTTATTCCGTTATTCTCTAACATGAATCAAGTCAATAATTATAAACGAGGGTAGTTGGGATGAATAATTAAATAACAACCATTGGTCTGAACAGAAAATCAAAGAAATGAAGTGAAACGAAACGAAGTGACGCTGAGCCGAGAAGGCGAGTGGGCCAGCTCGTTTCGATCAAGCATGACTCAATATTTATATTCAGATAAAAGTAAATTACAGACACCTAATGAATAGGATGAGCAATTAACACATACGATCATATAAAAACAGTTAGGGTTAGTAAGCGAATAATTGACAAGATCAAAATGTGGCTTGAGAAGAATGAACAAATTAGTCCATCCAGAAGTTAGAATAGCTTATGCGAGCTTGGCATACTACCGGTCACTACAATAGTATAAAAGATTAGACACAGAATAATATTTGAGAGGAAAAAATAAACTTACGAATAAAAAGTATGCGATGAATTTGAAACTCAAGATCTAAGGAAAGACAAATAGCGAATGGATCTACACCACTTTGACTGATTCTGAGCCATTTCACCCAACATCACTGATTGTGGTTATCAGGCGGACTCTAACCAAATATTTTACACCTACCAACTGGATTCATAACAACAGACAATGATTTCATGAACTGATGACATAAATGGATTGTTCACCCCTATATTTCTTTTAACTTACTCCTATCCCAACCATCATTGGATATGGATGCTCAGCATGTATAACACATCCTCTAACCATATCATTCAATGAAAATTCATAATCTATTCAACATATCTACTGTCTTCCCTCAGTAGCCTATGGTCTAATAATTTGTGTATAGTTCACGAGACCATTGAATTTGTCAGTTGTTTATTAAATGATAACACACTATCGGGATTTGAATTGGTGATTCATTGATTAAGTATGGACTGATTAAATCGTTAAAACTCGACGTTTCTTTCCATAAGAAATATGTTGACCTTTTGTTTTTGATTTTATCTTTCCTATTTAGATTCTTGAATGTTTCAATATTATTTCATATTTTTTTATTCAACAAATTCATTCCTTCTCTTCGATTCATATATCTGTATGTTCAATTTTTACCTTACATTTATTTATACTACTATGATTTCAACTACTCTTAAAATGTGGACTGTTGTATGCCTGCTAGATCCTACGTCAATTATACTTGATTGAGTGAATTAGAGGGAGAAGACGACCAGTGTAGCAGCAGCCTCAGCAACGGTAGGTCTCAATATACACAACGGGAAAAGCAAGATTCTCCAATACAACACAGCATGCACCAATCAAATCACACTTCTCAGAATGTAAAGCCTTTGCATATCAGGGCGAAATCATTGATGAACATGGTGGATCTGATGCAGATGTAAAAATGCGTATCGGCAAAGTAAGAGCAACATATCTACAATTGAAGAACATCTGGGACTCAAAACAACTCTGTCAATCAACACCAGAGGCAGAATTTTCAATATAAATGTTAAGACGGTTCTTCTATATGCGGCGGAAACTTGAAGAACTACGAAAGCCATCATCCAGAAGATACAAGTGTTTATTAACAATTGTCTACGAAAATAATTCGGATCTGTTGGAGAGACACTATCAGCAACAATCTACTGTGGGAAAGAACAAACCAGATTCTAGCGGAGGAAGCCAGGAAGAAGTGTTGGTAGTGAATAGGACACACATTGAGGAAAGCACCCAACTGTGCCACAAGGCAAGCTGTAACTTGGAATCCTCAAGGCCAAAAGAGAAGCGGGATACCAAAGAACACATTGCGCCAAGAAATGGACACAGACATGAGAAAAGTGAAAAAAAATTGGATAGAACTAGAAAATAAGGCCCAGGACAGAGTGGATTGGGGAATGCTGTCGGTGGGTCAGGCGTAAGTAAGTAAGAGTGGTTTAGAGAAAATAGACTTTCCAGTAGGTCTGTCGTCCTAGGTATTGAACTCTATTAATTGATTCTTTGGCAATGACGCTGTATATTTTCTAACCACTGTCTACAATTCTACGTACAATATTGTTTGGCGTGAAGGTGAGTTGGACGAACACTTGAGAAGAATAAACCAAGACATAGTATCAGTACATGAAGTCATTGACTGTTGATCTGAGTCATATGGATGTCGAGTAACTGATTGGGGCCTACGCAATAACTGCATTAATTAGTTGAAGACGTCAGATCACAGTTTCACAGATGCATTTACTACTTGTATCCCAATTTTGTTATTTTTTACATAGTGAAAATCAGTTCGAATATCAACGAATCATCTACAAAGTTACTGAGTCTATATAACCACTAACTTGTTGTCTTAATTTATCCTTATGTGAAGATTTGAGTTTTCTTGTTCTTGATATTAACGACTGCATTTTTTAGTCTCTATCGGTATATAAGCATATTGAGTGTGTTCCCTTGATATCTTATTTTGAATAAAAAATGCATAACAGCTAACGGCGCAGCTCAGGATACATTTTACGTCCCACACCGTGTTGAGCAAGTTAGTGGCCATTTAAATTTAATAACTTGATAGATAATCCATTGGTGTTTGGATCAAAAGGCTCTGAGTTCGAGTCTCTCGATTTGTAAATATCAATACTGGAATATAGGCGTATTCAACTGATGAGTCCCAAGTAGGATAAAATGTAGATCATGGATCTCAGTGCTAGGCATAGTCCAGGTTTGATCTGCTTAATTCTCTTTTCATATATCACTAATAATTTTTATACTTGGTTCTATTTTATTGTTCACTGTTTTTATTAGTGTAGAAAATCAATAACCTACATGTTTATGCTTGTGTATTCCCCCCAAAAATGTGATTGTTCAAGGACCTTGAAAATTGATTGAAAGATATAGATTTCTTTTTCAAGTTTCTAAGGTTCACAACAATTGAATATTATGTCCACTTAGTAAGGTGATAATAACGAGGGGGGGTATAGTTTGTGTGTATTTAATATCTTAGCTATAATCAATTTATATTATAGCACAGATGTACATCATCATCAAGTCATTTCTTCATATCCATATCAATCTGATGAGATGAAATTAACAACATTAATTCATATGTATTGGTTGTTTATACTTTCTCATTGATGTTTAGTACTGTAATTGATCCATCACTTTTGGTAAATGTGAGTTCTGTGTGTATGGCGTTTGAGGCGAATGGTGCTCGGTTTGAGTCCGGGAGTGAACATCAACTCTGGGATGCAGATACATTCAACTGATGAGTCCAAAACAGAGCAAAACGCGCGTACTGGATTATACCGCTGTCTATCATCTATCTCTGCTCAAAATAAAAATACGAGCGATAGATGAAGGTGAATGTTAATTAATATCAATGATAGCGATGAAAATTTGAGGATTAAAAGAAAGATATAGAAAATAGACGAAATTAAAATTGAAAGGATTGTAAATAATGAATTTGTCTACATTACTGAACAGTTCTATGTCATGTGACATAAAGTGGTGGTATCCAACCACTGATGCCGATTATTATGTGAATAGTCTGCCTTAATTCATCAGTCATTGGTTTTATAGTCTTAGTCTGAACTCTTTAATCCTTTTCTCAACTTTCCATTTTGGTGTGCATTGCTTGCCTAGATGGTCCTGGAGATCAAAATATAACACCAATCCCTGAAGTACCTAACTGCCGATGTGATCCCGGATGTCGGAAAATGAAGACTCTTTAATTGAGGCTCGCGTTAAAATACATCTTTCAAAACTGTTTGTGGCGGTGGCGTTACTTTCATTATCTATTTTTCTATAGATCTGAATTTAATTTTTGCTCTTAGTTTTTCTTATTTTTCGATCTCATTTGTTCCTTTTGAACTATACTTATCATGCTTAGATTTTCACTGTATTTGATAATTATTTTCTCTCCTTTTTCTTAACATCGTGTTATGTTTCCTTTATCATTGTGTTAATATGAAGTACGATAGTCTGGATCGATATATTGCCTGAGACATATGTTGCATATGCTTAACTATCGTCTATCTAGACGGTCAATATTTGTTGGTGTACGCGTAAGTTACAAGAAAGTTATAGGTGATCCTGATTAAAATGTAACAGCAGTTCATGAATTCATTGACTGTTGAAATAAGCCATGCTGTTGTGTGCAGACCACCTAATTGAACTCCTTGCAATTGTTGTGAACAATGGTTAAAAACATTGTGTGATATGGCTCAGATTCGACTGTATTAACACACATATATTCACTCTGATTAATATTATCTGTGTCTAATGTCTTCTACTATAACTGTTGTTTATACTACTTCTGTTGTTCTATCTTTTATCTTGATGATTTCATTTCAATATGTTGATATAGTGTGGCAACTTGAATCGATACACATATGTGTCACATTGTATGTTGCTTATGACTGACTGATATCGATTATGATTAACTAACTGATATTGAAGTAAGTTACTTATTGTTGAGTATGTTACGTAAAATTTGTCTTATCCACTGTGTTGTAATGTACAACTTTATATATATGTATAGAATAGGTAACCAACTTATTGAAATATTTGTTTATAACTTTTGTGTATATAGACATTCTTTTCATTTTCGAATTATTCTAGATGCTTTTCTTCATTTTCCCCTCTTGTAGATCTCGGAACTAATCGATAATTATCACCATTTAGCAGTACAAGAGAAAGAAGATCAAGAATGGAATAAATTTGCACGTAAACGAAATTATATGATTTTAATGGTAAGTCAGTTAGTCACAACAAGGTGGTCTCAAATGCTGATAAAGGAGGCATATGAGGTGAGGGCAGTTGTCACCTCCCAGTAGCCCACATTATGGAAAGATATTTCTTCTTGAGAGACCTGAAAAGAGAGCTGAGTTAGTGATTGTCTTAGCGACCTGGGAGGGTGATCACATCTCAACAGAAAAATGCTTGAGGCAGGTTGTGCACGGTCTTCTTTCGGGAAAATTTTAATGTTGTAAGCTCCACACTTCCAAAAACCTTACCGTCGGAGACAGAAATATGAAATTCTTAGAGTCGACCTTTTCTAACCCCTTCGTTTCGTTGTGAGAAGGCAGCATCCCTGCAGATGCTGGCTGTCCAAAGGAAACACCTTACTTCTATCACACTCCTCTACAGTTGGCAGTATGACTTTGCTCTCGGACCTTAATTTGCTTCCTTTAGTTTTACCGTTCTCCAATCAACCTGCATGACATGGTAGGACCTAAAGGAACATGTGTTCTAGCCGATACAGCTCGGTTGAGTCATCACGATAGGCTACGATCGGGCGGTAAGTAGTCAGTCATATAATTTCCTGATTGCTGTTGGGTTTAAAAGATGGAACAGCATGATTCCGTAGTCTGTTCAATAAATATGCGAGCTCCGTTTATCGAAATCGGGTTTATTCTTGCAAAATTTATTGTAAATCAATCTTATCCCCACCCTTCAAAGTATTTCTCATTCAAGGCAAGATACTTATCACATCTTCGTTGCCATTGTCCAAAACATCTCTAGAAGTCTTCAGAAGCTAAAGTTTTTTCTTAGTTATTTCATCGTTTAACGTTTCAACGTCCCTAAGAATGCTTTTATGAAATTCTGTACACGGTCGATTTTCTTTCGATTAAGGTCATTGAACATAATCCAAGTAGAGAATCACTAATCAAGTACCACAAGAGACTATATACGTTCGATAACTTATTTTAGTATAATAAGTTTATTGTCGTCCTGTCCTGTCCATCATCACTGCAGTTAGCATACTTCTCACTAAAACGCTTGATGAACTTAATAGGGGTCATTTGTTACAACACTCGTTATCTCTTGCAAATAACACTCAGTATTTCATAGATTTATTGGGAACACTTCCTGAGTTTCAGTCCCCCATACTTATCGAACAGATAATGTATTCTGTGAATGGGAAATGTCCTTTTACAATGTAGAGTCATAGCTTCTGTCTAATAAATTATGTTTGTGTTATAAAAATTAGTTGCGTTCGTAGCTAAAGTCAGTTGTTTGACACTGATTTACAGCCGTCTACTTACATGGAACTAAATTTTCTATTTCCTTACTGTGTCTATTTAAATAACAGAATAATCTACATATTTTTTAGGAACGTTATCCAGTTTTAAATCCACGCCTAAGACGCTATTGTTCATCTTCTTGGACAACACCTAAGTAAGTTATGTTTCTTTTTTTGGTAATATCATTTATCAGTAAAGAATTTTGTAAGGATTATAGGATCTTTATAGTTTTTAATTCATAATCTAATCTCAGACTAGACCATCAATAAAAACCGGATAGCATTAAACATGTTTCATCTTATTATAGGACTTCTTAGCAGTGCATATTCACTACCCCGCCATAGGGAGTCGATCCTGAGACCTTCGGTCTTGCTCGCAAATACTTAAACGGAATCTAATGGCGTATATATTTAACCTTAACCGATTCGCGATATTGTTCAACTATGTTCCATGGTCTTCGATGGGTAAATGCCTCTTAGTCGACACTATTGGACTCCAGTGGTCAAGGTTTCTCACTAGAACTCCAGGAATTGGATCTTGAAGCTAGTTACTAGTGAGCAAATAATTGCTGTCAGTACAGGTTATTCCATTTATTATAGAATTTCCATGACGAGGTTGTGGATGCGCACCTTTGAGGGTCCCGTGCTAGATCTAAATATCTGTCCTGTTCACAGTTTCCAATGGTGGTTAGTTCGTGATTTAGAGACTAGGAGCAATATTTGATCCAGTATCTGTGAGTATTTAGGCTTCTTCCGCTTTTTAGTTCGAGAAAAAGCTGTTATTTTGTCCATATATATATATATATATATATATATATATATATATGGTTAATTAACTAAATCCACTAAGTTCTTAGTGTCTGTTTGGTTGCGCCACCGAATGAAGAACTGTGCTGTTTAGATATTAAATGAACCTGAACGGGATCTAGTTTTCATGAAAAATGCTGCGTAAAATTGACTCTTTGTAGAGTATATTTCTAATCGTAAAACTATCAAAAGGTGTAGCTCAGTGGTTAAAGTATTCGGCTTTCTGTCGTTAAGTTTTAGGTTCGAAATCCCCTCTCCACCTACTACGGTTTGGGTAACCGGTTAAATGCTATGACCTGCCCTCACAGAGTATAGCTCAAAGTCAAGTACACAAATCTGTACACCTAGTAAATGAGATGAATATACTAATGTATACATGTTTCTGTTTGTCATGGATTAAAACAATACTGTTAAAGATGATTTGTTAAAATCCAATTTTTTCCACTGTGTTTATAATAATAGCAGAGAAACTACTCCTAGTAAAAAGGTAACTATTCCCGCTGCTGAAGCATCTTCTGAAATCCCACCATTCAACGTTGACGAATACATCAATCAACCAATTAACATTGATAAAAGTAAGTCTGGTACTCCCTCCTTCTTATACACTCAACACCAGTATGTGTATCCTTTCCTACATATCACTATAATTTAGTCGGTACATTTAATTTTATTTATCGTCAATTATTCTTGAATTATGAGTGTCATTCATTCGTAAATATACCTTCATAATACGTTAGCTAGTGTACGAGAAGGAAGCTAGAAGCGACTTAACCAAAATCTAGCATTATTTCATGAAGTCACTGACTGTTTGATAGAGATATAGACTATCTGATTAGAATCGTTCAGGTAACAACTAAGATCATTGGTTTAAGACGTTAGTTCACAGCGAGATAGATAGGTTGACTCTTTATCTCCCCTTAAATGTTTAGTTCCAGTATTCTATAATACATGCATTTTGATAATAACTGCATTCTTAATTCATCTTGTATTGGTTGTTTGAGTCTTCCTATTGACGTTTAGAACTGCAATTGGGGTTCGAGTTCTGAAGCGAACATCAACTCTGAAATGCAGCAGCACGAAACGCACGTCCTAGATTCCACTACTAGTCAGTCACCATATATCTGTGCTTATATTCTTAGTATTTGTTGTGTCTTATTATCATTGGTAATAACATGTTTTTAATTGCTTGTTATTTACCTATTCCTGCTGATGTGATATAGCAACTTTAGGTAACATACATTTGTGCCAGTTTCTACGTTCATTACGATTGATTTTACACTACGGTTGGACAGTTATTTAATTCAGAATAGTTTTTCCTCTTTATCTTATTTCCATGAAAAATGGTGATTAAATCCATATAGTTCTCGGTTCGAACCCTGATCTTCCGAACTTCAGTTTGGTCATAGCTAGACAGAGTATGATGGACCTTTGCTAGGTATGATTCAATTAGTCAGTATATAAACCTATAATTAATCTAACATTTGAGAATATTCCCATTAAGTAAATAAGACCAAACTGCCATGTAGGTAGGTGTGAGTAAAAAGTAACCAGAACTTGATTGGTTCTTGAGAGTCACTTGTAAGCAGCGTAAAATCTGGCACATTATTTTATTTTGTCATTAAAATGTACTCTGTTTTCAGTATTTCTAAAAATTGATTTGAAATTAAATCCACAATTTTCACCACTTATTTCTTTTATCTCAAGTTACCAATATTCATCAACGTCATTTAGCTCCTCAAATTCAACCAAGATATACATCAAATTTAGAACCACGACCAAAAAGTTTAGTTGTTAAACGATCAATGCGTTGTCGTGTCTGTGAACATAATCTATGCAAAGCGGATTTTAGTCCAAGTTCTATTAAATTTCGAATTAATTTAAATGCATTATATCATGTTCCAGAATTACGATTTATTATTCCACCAACAATTATTAAAGGATCAACATTTGATTTAAAACAGACTATGAGTAAAACTAACTTAACATTGGGACGTCGTACTTCATCGACATTAGTTTCTATGAAATATGAACCTGTCATTCATTCTAATGCTACACCTGGTCAAGTAAGTGCTTATAATTGTTATAACTTGAGATGTTAGTTGATATCATGTGCTAAAGTCACCTACCAATCGAGATTCTGATTATCGATAAGTTCGCCTATATTGTCAACAAGACTGGTGATATAAGTATTAATCGACACACCGACCACTGAACACCAGCCAAGACCTTATCTCTTATTGATCGTGAGCAGGACTTCCCTGAAAGAGGCCAGGGAATTCCTACTTACTGTCTTCTCTCACTGGGGGTGTTGTTTACGGAATTGAGAGGATGAAAAGTGAATATCCGGCGCTTTAACAGGGTTGGTGGACACGGAGAATCGACCTAGAAGAGTTAGAAAACCCTGGTTCTAAACTAGTCGTGCACATGGACTCCAGAATCCTGAGAGAAAAAATGGCGTATGAACCTATTATTAGTCACCGGCTACCATGGGACTGCCTCTCCTGAAGTTGCTCCACTGCCTTGTTAATCAGACCTTTAGGTCGAAGGCTCCGGATGTGGCCCCCTAAGAAAACCACCTGCTTCAGTCTGGGCACCCAGGCAGTATCCTAGCCCACACATAAATCAAGTGGACTGTGTGGCGCATATGTATTTGGTGCCTCCTTGTACCAATATATATGTGTTCAAATGAATAAATATAAATAAGTTTCCAGTCAGAAGACCCAGATAGGAAGCTCTCTAGTTCTCTGTTGTACCCAATTCAGTATTCACTCAAAATGTATGCACTAATATATTTAAAATGCTTGAGCACACATTACATCAAATAAGGAGTCCATACTTAAACACAATCAAGTTATAAGTGACATTTTAGATAATCAAATAGTGCATAAGTAATTAACAATAATTAGGGAATAGTAACAATAATAACTCGAAGAAATAGTTCTGAATGTTCCAGTTTTTCCAATATTATCGCGTTATAATAGTAATATAAGTATTTTATGATTGTTTTGAAAAATATCAGTGTAGTGGTCACATCTGCTTATTACCGCCATGTTATATAGTCGTCCCAAACTCTTCTATACAGATAACGATGGGGATAGTTCTCTTACTGCCATGTGTTTATAGTCTCTTCCAGAATAGTCCTATTCATTAACTTTATGGTGAGGTTATTGGTCAGTATTCACGAACTAAATTATGATCAGTCTTTGTTGATATGTGGGTTTCCTGAACAAAAACCTTAATATGTTGTTTAAAATTGCAAGGTTTAGCGTAGTTTTGAATAGTGGCTAGCAATGAAATCCGATACACCTGTTTGATCTCATGTATGACTCCTCAATTGAATCTGTCTACTTGATACTACTCCATACGGTTCTTTGGTGACCCTCTATATCTGACTCCAGTTAGATCGCATAATTGATTGTTATCGAAATATACATCCCAACTACCCTCATATATAATTATCGACTTGAGAATAATGAACAAATTGATCTATCCAGAAATTAGAATAGCTTATGCGAGCTTAGCATATTATCAGTCACTAAAGTTTACACGAGGATGTAAGTACTTTCAACTAATGCGTTTTACATAAAATTATAGTCTGTTAATATACATTTGACTGGTTACAAGACAGTGTACAGATCGCCATGATGAGACGCCCAATTTTTTTCACTTATGTTATCATCGAACCATCTTTGAAATTTAGTATTATTATGATCAATTCGTTTGCATTTTATTCTTTCTCAGAAAATAAATATAATTTTAACCATAAGTAATCCTATGCATCGGATTACAACTTTTTCATTACGTCAATTGACTTCACAAGAAGAAATAGAACATCTTGGACATTTAATTAACAGCAATAAGCATGAACTAAATTCACTTTCATCTACAGTCGAAATTCAATCTACTGAATCAAAAAAGGATCCTACTACTATCAGTAGTGACACAGCATCATCATTTTCTGATGATCAATTAACATGTTTTTCAACTGTAAATGTAAGTTATCATATAGCAACTATTGGTGTATATAACTTATCCTGTATATTTGTCTCTATTCCATACTTTATATTATGCTAAAAGAATTCGCTGGCAGGATTTAGATATTTCTGTCTTTTTGATTGTTCATATTGATTACTATTAGTTATATGAGGGTGGTTATCACTTGACAATTGCCTACATCACACAAAGATAATTCTGCTTGAGGGGACTATAAAACGAAACTGGATTAGAGGTAAACTTGATAATCTGACAGGTTGACTACAGAGATAAAGGGATAACTGTTTGAAGCCCAATCATACACAACTTTTTGGTGAGTATTTCTTCATTTGTCGTTGGCTCTGTACTTTTCAGACTTTACCACCATCAATAGAAATCTGTAGAACGAATTGGTATTTGCTACTGTTTATGATTGGGATTTTCCAACCCTGCTTCCATTGTAGGAAGCAGCAATTCTGAATGTAAGAGCAACATTTTACTGTCTATCTGTATGCTCCATTACAGTTGGCCGTACGTTTTCTCCCTTAAACTCTCAGGTTTGCTGCTTATATTTGTATTGGTCTATCAAGGATGTTATATCCGAGCGAAGATTAAATCACGAGTAACTTCTGAGATGGTTGGGCCACGTGTTACGTATGCCTGAACACCAATTACCACGTCGTGCAATGCTAACGGGTGTTAGAGATGGTTAGAAGAGAATTAGGGGCGGCCATACCAAAACGTGGCATCAGTGCTTGAAGACACTAACCTCTAGTCTGAGCCATGTTGTTAGATGCAGACTACTTGGTTGGGGTCCGCGTGACTTCCGTAACCGATGGCTGGAGACTCTTGGTGACATGGCTCGGAATCGATCACAATGGCGTCGGTGTATACACTCTCTGTCTTCCCTTAAACTAAGAGATTAAAAGCACTTCATATCTTTCTTTCTACTAACTAATTCTTTCTTCCTGTACTGTATCCTTATATGCAATCTTTCTCCTATATATTACCACCTTTGACCTAACCACTCCTATGAATCCGGTGTTCATCTTGCTGTGCTAATGCGATATGGCAACCTGGACCGATGCATATATGTGCCTGGTCCTACGTTGTAGCTGACTGACTGAACTTCTGAGACATATTAATTGACTGATATTATCTATACATTCTTATGGTATTACTATTCAATAATTAGATTATGTATATCTATATTCCTCTTATTATAAGCTTTATTTGACCTATAATTTACTATTGTACGATTTACTGTTCTTAAGCTATGTTCAGTTCATTGACTACTGTCTCCCACGTTCACAGTCACTTTTTGGCTTTATTGTATACTAATGTTATTTCCTATTTTATGGTGCGTTGCGGTCTGTTTGTTTCACATATAAACACAGTATGTCTGAAACAAATTATTCGATTCGCATCCGCATATTGGTGTCCTGGACTCAAGTGGACGGGCTAGGCGGATATAGAACCAATACGGACGCTAGACTGCCCGTACCGGTCGAACGTCATTGGTTTGGCACAATGCTAAGATTGTATTTTGATTGGTGGATAAATCACGTGATAGAAAGCCGGACATAAAGTCACAACAGAATCGTAGAACGTAAGAGAAAGAATGTTCCAACCAATATAGTTTGGTTATATCACCACCATATGCAAGCCCGACTACCGCCTTAATAGCGACGCCTACTGTCGTCGTGCCACTGTGGTACAGCAACTTAGGCTAACTCCTATTTGTACTACGCTCGATGTTGAGGGTAACTGGTTATCTTTCAGGATTAGTTACTATGTCGTTCAGCTGACACTTATAAAAGTGATACGAAATATCTGTATATTGAGTAATTCTTAGTTTCTATGCGATTAGACAATCGATACTGCACTCTGCTTTCCTTTATCATAGTCCTAGCTTATTCAATTAATTAGATCAAAGCAGAATGCTTTAATGTATAAACGTATTTACATCTTTCCTAAATGCATCGTGGATAATAAGCTTATTAAAAGAGCGACGAGTCAACAAAGGATGGTAGAGTTTCGACTAAGGAAAAAAACAAGAACTTCAAATTTTATAGAAATAAAAACCTAAACAGAATAGCAAATAAGTAATTGGATTTTAGATTGATTTGAAACATCCTCAACATTAATCATTTATTGTGAAATAAGCACAGTTTTATTGCATAGTTACTTTTCCCCGTTCTTTTGGTATTGACTAGCTCATTTTACCAACCGAAGAGTTAAAACTTGCACCCCGTAATGACATTATGGATTGTGATGTAACTCCAGGTCAAAGTTCTGGCGATTACAAAGATGATCCTAAGTAAGTTTAAGATAATACTGTTGAACTATTGATGAAATTACACTAACCATTCCATGTGAATTGATCCATAAGTAGTGACCAATATTATGTTTAATTAGTTGTATGGACTATATTTAATTAGTTGAAAGTACTCGAGTAATGAGTAGCAACTAGCACAAAATCTAGATCAAGCAGAGTTTCCTACCGACCAACCACGTGACATATAATCCTTTTTGATATTAAATCAATTTTCTGATACATTATGCGTAAAACATCATCTGATTTCTATTAAACTAATGTATACTCACATGTATACAGTAGTTAAAACTCTCAAATGTGTAATTTCAATTCTAACGTAACAGTGATTTAAATTAACTCATGGCTGTTTTGTAATTCTACATCTACAATTGACTATCTAACAATTGAAAGGGATAGAAGGCTTAAGATCTAATATGAGCGTATATCAGTCCAGATTTCCACATTTCTTATCTGCATAGTGAAAGAGACAGACAATATCATCAGTCTTACCATGATCAATGTAATTCCGTAACAAAATAGGCGAGACTATGATTTATGGACGACCTTTGAGCGACGCTGGAGTGACCTTGAGAATGGACACCTACTGATAAGTACTGAATGAGAGTTATAAACCAGTTAGAATTATGGTTTAGGGTTGATGGTTAAGGTTAAAAATTAGATTTAGGGTTTTCATCACGAACTGATATCAGCTATAATGCCAAAACTCTATTTAGCCAAATGAATGAACGAATTTCGCGCCAAAATTCATAACTCGTTATCTTATATCTGATTGGTTCGTCCATAAATTATAGTCTCGCCACGAAATAAAGTTATTTTGTACTAGTTATGATTAACGTAGAATCCAAAATAAATGTACATCGCCTCAAATACACATACTACAACAGCACAGAAAAAGAATTGAGATAACAGTAGTATCAATGGGACTCAGATGCTACCAAAAGTTAAGAGTGAGTCTGTCTGCATCATTGTAATCGATTCTGGTTTATATCACCTATTGTGTGATCGTACATGGACCCTATACACATAGTCTGCATATCTATCAGCCACTTTTCACACCCATCAAAGGAGAGAACTGTTGTACAGTAAACTTGTTCATCGGTTGGCAAACGAATACCTTGCCTACGCTACAAGTGACTCACATTAGCAAAGGTCAACCGAGCTTTCTAAATTCGTATCATTTCATTAAAAAATGTTAAGTGACTAAATCACTAAAAATGGCAGTCTATATATTTAATGCTTAGATTATAATTACACCTTTTCGAATCGATCAGACTATTGCAGGTAATCCTACAACAGTAGTGGAACTTTTGATAATTAACACCAAACTGTGGTCGAAATATCGGAGTATAAGACCTCCTTGCGTCACTAAAACCTTACCGTGACTTTAATACCCCTGTAACTTCTAACTTTTTTCCCTCTTATTTTGTTAATTCCTATCTAGGATAGTGGCCTTCCGTCGTGGTAACAAACTAGGTATTAATGTTACTTTAATACCAAAAACCAATAAGTTACCGACATTGCAAAATTCAAGTTTGGTTCCGGTTAGCGAAGATCAAATAGTTGATCAATTTCACAAATCTGAACAACTGATCCCTTTACAAGCTGCAATTTACATGAATTTTGACTACAAAAACACATCAACTACTCTGTTAAATGCAGCGAGTAATAAAACAGTGGGAACTGACACTACCAAAACACAAGGAAAGATTCCAGAAACAACTACAACCACTGAAACATCAATATTGCCAGCAACAACTGTCACTGCATCTACAACATTAGAACAACGTGTTTTACCTCCAGCTGATGAAATCAAACAAATTCAAATAGTGGCATTATTTAATTTTGGTTATATGCCTGTCAACGAATAGATTAAGTACATCTTCGAATAATGATTATTCTGTTGACTTTCAGTCATTTAATTATGTGATCAGAGTTTACATGACTTTTTCCTTGTGATGAAGCGTATTTATTAACCTGTGAACGGTGCGTTTGGTTTACATTATCCTTTTATCATTGCTTTTTTTTCATATTTGAGGGTGTTTCTGGTGACTTAAAAAAATGATAACAAACAGTTGAATCTCCCAATTAATTACATGTACTTTATTTTGCAATACAATAATAAGTGCAAGTCTTTTATTTACAAATAAATATCATACATATCATTGATGTCATTTTAACGTGTCAGGTTTCTATTGGCGTTTTTACTCCACTTAAAATATCTTCAACACACCATACTTCTTCGAATGCAGTACATATTCGAGCGCATGTCTGAGCGGCCGATAAAGGAAAGTTACTAATACTGACTGTACGTTGTGTAAACTCTTTACAGGTATCGACAACTGAACCATGGGCTAATGCACCAATAACAATAACAACTGATTGAGGGTTAGGTTTCTGTGTCTCTTCAGCTAGTTGAATTGGTTTAATTTGTTCCTTTGATGAAAATGACATTGTAATAACTGGAGCACCAATTGGAAAGTGTCGTGTTACAGGGTTTTTGACGATCTATAAAAAAAAACTAAATAAAATTAACAAGAATGCTGTACATACCTTTAATAGTTTCTCACGATTGCCACCTTCAGCATGTATTGAGAGTTTGTGTAAAAGTTGCACCATAAGCCCACAAAATCGATCGAATGTACGTGGTATTCTTGTTTTAGGATTCACTTCAATTATCACATTTTTTCTTGTTCGAATAAAAACCTTTGAGAAAATTAAAACAAATGTGTCAGTATAATTAAAATGAATTATTTTCGGTTAAGATGAGAAATATCCTGCAGTTTAAAACTACAGTTAATACGAAGGAAAAAGAATCTAGTATTAAATATCCCTGAAAAACCTATCCTAGTAAAATAATAACTGCATTTTTACTTGATGGTAGTAGTCAGCAGGAAGTTTTTTATTTGACCTTTTACGCAAGGTTGTATTGCTGTGTGCAAATGACTCGTCAAATTCGGGCTGCTGCTTGCTCAGTATTCGTTAGTTACCCGGAAGTCTACTCATTCCTGTAAATGGACACTGCTGCAAGTCAGTTAAAAATCAAGATATGATTTTTGTTGTCGGTGGTTTAGATGATTAAAGACGCCCTTATAGAGCTTTATTTATACACCACAGGGTCTGATACGTATCATTCAGAACTTCGTACGTACATACATCAGTTCGAGTTGCCATACCAAATTAACACACAGACACAATTGTCCATTCAAATCCCATAGTGGGATGCGTTTTGTCCTGCTGTAAGACCGGTGTTAGTTAAACAGTAAGCTACAATGTAGGACCAGGCACATATGTGCATCGGTCCAAGATGCCATACCTCTTTAGCACAACAAGATGAACACCGAATTCATAGAAGTAGTTAGTTCAGTGGTGGCAATCAGTCAGTCATCAACAACGTAGAACTTCGTACTTACATACATCAGTTTGAGTTGCCATACCACAATATCACACAGATACAATTGTCCATTCAAATCCCGTAGTGGTAGATGTAGTCAAAGTATAAGCAGTAGTCGGAAACATTAGAGTATGAAGATGTTATTCAACGAGTATAATCCAGTGAGATAAATTTGGAAAGGGACATGAACAATTCAGAAGATTAGAATTTGGGAGAATACAAAGAGTGGATGCACCTGCGCTATTGTAAACGATTTTGAGTCATGTCACTTTCAAGGTCTCTAATCATCGGTGACTATCGTCTTATGTATTCTAACCAGGTAGTCTACACCTACCAACATGATTCAGCCCACTTGTCAGTGAGTGACTTCATGGATTTGTGTCATGTTTTGGTCTGGCCGCTCCTACCTTTCTTCCAACCTACTCCTACACCATGAAACATCGCACGCCGAAGCAGTCGGTGGTTGGGCATACGTAACACATGTCCCAGCCATCTCAACTGATGAAGTTTCACTACTTCGTCAATTGATTTGCCATCCTTACCTAGTACCCGTTTCCTAACAACTGCATTACTTGCTCAGTAGTCCTAGGATATATGAGCAATGCTTCGAAGACACCTATACACGAGTACTAGTATCCTACGAATATCCTTTACTCTTGCCGGCCATGTTTCACTGCCATAAAGTAGGACAGAAAGGATTTCTAATTCATATAGTGTTAAACGGCATCTTGAAGTTCAAGGACTAAAATCTTGCTAAGTCACAATGAGGCTGGAAAGGAAAAGTACCGTGACTTGACACTCAACCTTGAATTCAGAATCACTGACGTAAAATTTGTGCAATTTGTTTTTTTAACTCATGCACACCGAAAACGCTTTTACATGACATGCGAAGTACACTCAAAGTTGAGGTTAGTCATTAATAAAGGGACGAGAATAGCAAAGTAATCGACTTGCACCATAAAGGTAATTCAGTTTCAGTTTGGGAAGGACAGGAGGCTCGATGGCCTATGTTAGTCCTGGCAATGGTGGTCTCTCAGTTGATCCAACTTTCTTTTGAAAGAGTCGACGGATGGAGCCTCAACGACGTGCTGAGGTAGTGAATTCCACTCGTTGATGATTCGATGGGAAAGTCGATAGTCAGCTGACAAGTAATTTGTTCTCGGCTTATGAACTTTTTTGGAGTGTCCTCGTAAATTCTCTGTTTTGGAAGACAAGAAAAATGAGGGCATGTTAGGTGCAAATTTATCACTAAGCAATTTGTAGACTGTAATCAAGTCGCCTCTAGTTCTGCGATATGACAACGGGAAAAGGTTCAGCTTGGCCAGTCGAGATTCATACGGAAGCTTCGCTATTGCGGGAACCAGCTTAGTCGCCGTTCTCTGAACCTTTTCCAGAAGCTCACTGTCTTTTTTAAAGCAGGGGCTAGCCGCCTGTATGCAGTACTCAAGTTTAGGACGAACGAACACTGTATACAAAGTCAAAAACGTCTTAGTGTCGACATGACTAAAAGCCCTACGTATTGACCATAACGTTCTAAAACTTTTGGCGGCTATTGCACGGCAGTGTGCAGTAGTCTTTAAGTCTTGACTAACGATAACTCCTAAGTCATTATATGTCTGGACGACAGGTAGCTCAGTGTTATTCATCGTGTATGTATCTGTGCCTTGATGACCGATATGCATCACAACACACTTGGAAGTATTTATCGGCAACTGCCATGTTTGAGACCATTCAGATAACTTCTTCAGGTCATTTTGAAGTTCTAAGCTATCACTCTTACATCGTATCGTTCTCCATATCTTGACATCGTCAGCATATAGCAAGACCGATGATGATAGGAGACAAGGAAGGTCATTTACATACAAGAGGAATAGCACTGGCCCCAAAACTGTACCCTGGGGCACTCCGCTAAGCACAGTTTCCCAGCTAGATAACTTTGAGTTCACCCTTACTCTTTGTTGACGCCCAACTAAGAAGTCTTTTATCCACATCAATAAATTACCTCCAATCCCGATATGTCTTAACTTATATAACAGCCGGTTGTGCGGAACTTTATCAAAAGCTTTACTGAAATCAATGAAGGCGACGTCTACAGGTAGCTTTTGGTCCTTAAGAGCGCACCAGCTTTCACGAGCCACTAATAAGTTAGTGAGACAAGAATAACCTATTCTGAAGCCATGCTGCTTCTCCGAGAGGATCCGGTTTTTATCGAGATACTTAAACAGCTCCTTCCGAATAATCTTTTCTAAGATTTTAACAACCACACTAGTTAGGCTAACGGGGCGGTAGTTCTCAGGTTTGTGTTTCGTACCTGTTTTGAAGACAGGACTTACTATGGCGTTTTTCCAATCTTTCGGTAAGCGACCCTGCGTAACGGATAGGTTAAAGCATGTACTTAAAGGGTTCGCAACGAAGTTAGATAATTCCTTCAGTAGCCTAGGATGTAATTCATCGGGCCCCGTGGATTTACCTATGTCAAGCTTATTTAGCAGACCAAAGACATCGAGTTCTTTAATGGTCACGCTATCCAGTGTATGTATGGGGGGATCTGTATACGCTGACGAGAAGGGTGCTTCTATGGTATACACGTTGCTAAAGTAGTTCGAGAACGCTTGAGCCTTACCAAAGTCGTCCTCCACTAATGATGAAGCAGTACTGTCTCCCCATAGAGCAGGAATATTTCCTTTTCTCCTTGTCCTTTGGTTTATATAGGAATACAAGCGTTTAGGACATTCTATGGATTCCTTAACAAGTTTTTCTTCGTACAATTTTCTAGACTTACGGAGGGTCGAGGCACAAGTGTTCCGAGCCTTTCGATACTGAGATTTTGACTCATCAGTCCCCAGTAACCTAAATCTATCCCACGTTTTCCTTTTCTTACGGAGAAGGATACGGACCTCCCTGTTTATTTAACCTAAATTTAATGTTCTAAGACTTATCACAAGTACCCGGGCTCCCAATTTTGAGGAAAATTTGACCCATTTTGGGGAAGCCGCTATAGTAAACTTTGGGGAAATGGCACAAAAACCCCAAAATTTCCCCAAAGTTGGGAGCTAGGGTACGATATACTGTACATTACTTTTGAAAAGGTAATGCCTCTTTTCTTTTAGAGACAGATAAATCAGTAGGATTTTGAGGATAATCATCAGAATAGGCACTTCGGTGAAGGAAACATTTCAGAAGTACTAGTTACCCTTTGGTGAAGCAATTATGTTGAAATAAGCAACAAGTAGGACCTTATAATATAGCCTGAGGTCAAAAGCGCCATCATACTGAATAGGCTAAACTAACCTGTAGTTTACCGACTCGGTTTAATGGGCTATCAAGTAGCATGAGTAGACATTGATGGGTAATATCTGGACGAACTGTGGCAACATCAACACCAGCCTTTAAAATCCGATCTTTATGTCTATCAGGATTAAGCAGTTGGAACTCTTTTCCACTAGATGCCTTAACTGACTCTAGTGAAGCCTGGTC